ACTATACTCCTTTTGTGAAAAACAAGGAATTATCTGCACACTGAATAGTTTTAAGCCCCGTAGGAGGTATCATTTATTTGTGACGTTGTGACATATGAGAAGGTTCTGTGGGTATTGCTCGGTATTGAGGTTTATATAATGAGGCTAAAAAAAAAAAAAAAAGTAACACACAATTGGCTGATAATGTTTCTATTTGCCTCACTATAAAAACGTCACAATACCTTTGCCTGAGGAAGACCCTCTCAGAATTGGCAACGTAGCAAACAAGTGATACCTCCTTGGGGGCTTCAAAACTCTTGTGTCCAGCTAATTCTTTGTTTTTCACTTTGAGCCCTTTTATCCAGTCACGTTCTTCTGTGTTAAAACTAGACTTCTAACAGAGCAGCAAACAAAGGGTACTCTCCAAAATCTTCTCAGGCTCTGCTGCTGGGTATAAGGTGCTTAGTTATCTTCAAGTACAAAGTTAAAATAATCAGGCCCACACAGAAATGGACTGCTTAACTATTTGTCAGTGTCACTGTTAAACATTGATGCTTTATGTTTTATTTGTAGTGTATGATTTGTTTGTCCTTTCAATTGACAGTCAGATTTGATTGTGAAATACAACATTCAGTCAGTAATAAAGACAAAAGGAGTGCAAATATAAATAGAATTTATTGAAATTTTAAACAAGTTTATAGATGAACTGAATGTTTTAAATAAAAGGACATAACATGGTAGGGGGAAAAGGGGATAAAGGGTGGGATTGTAGGGATGAGGAAGAGCAGAGGTGGTAACAGTGTTATGGCTACAGATGTTTGTTTTTTTTAACAAACAAAGAATATCAAAAATTCAACATTAGCCATGACAGCCTGGGCTATGTTCAGGCCTAACAAAATGTGTCCCAAAGGCCAAATTCAAAAGCAGTGACACTGCCAACTGTAAGTAGTTCACTGTGTTTGGAGGTGGTCTTTAAGACAATTACAGTTGCAATCAAAATTATTCAACCCCCATTGCATATTAGGCTTATTGGCAAAATGTACAATTTTTCAGCTGTTTGCAATAAACAAAGTAGACAAGAACAGTTGAAATAGTTTAATAAAACTAATATTACTATGGTTTTTATCCAAATTCAACACAAAATGCTACTTTTAACCACTAATGCAGTCTCAAAATTATTCAACCCCCTGTTTCAAGCACACCTGGTGCAACTAATCAAGGGCTTCATTAGTTCAGGTGTGCTTGAGATAGAACACATAAATACCTGGACTGGCTAGGGGTTTGTTGAGAGTGACGTTTGATTGCATGTTAGAAATATGGCCAAGTCAAAAGAATTGTCCAGAAAGTTCAGAGAAGAAATCATTGCCTTGCACAAACAAGGAAAAGGATACAAAAAGATAGCAAAAGCTCTGAATGTTCCTAGAGATACAGTTGGAAGCATAGTTTGCAAGTTCAAAGTTAAAGGAACAGTGGCTACACTACCTGGACGTGGCAGAAAGAGGAAACTGTCAGCGGCTGCCAGCAGATTCCTGAGAAGGCAAGTGGTCAAAAACCCTCGAGTGACTGCAAAACACCTGCGGCAAGACTTGGTGGCAGCAGGCACTGAGGTTTCAGTTTGCACAATAAGGCGCATACTAAACACCGAAGGGCTCCATGCCGGGACTCCAAGACGTACACCACTACTGACCCAAAAGCACAAGAAAAGTCGGCTCCAACATGCTCAAAACCATATAAATAAGCCACAGAAGTTTTGGAATTTAGTTCTGTGGAGTGATGAAACAAAACTGGAACTTTTCGGGCCTATGGAACAGCGGTATGTCTGGAGGAAGAAGAATGAAGCATATGCTGAAAAGAACATCCTGCCTACAGTGAAGCATGGCGGTGGCTCAGTGATGCTCTGGGGCTGCTTTGCTGCCTCTGGCACGCAGCGTGTGGAGGGCACGATGGATTCAGTCAAGTATCAGGAAATCTTAGGTGAAAACGTCATGCTGTCTGTGAGGAAGCTGAAGCTTGGGCGTCATTGGACCTTCCAACAGGATAATGATCCAAAGCATACCTCAAAGTCCACCAAGGCTTGGTTTCAGAAAAAGAAATGGAAGATTCTAGAGTGGCTGTCACAGTTGCCTGACTTGAACCCCATAGAAAATCTCTGGTGGGATTTGAAGAGGGCGGTTGCAAAACACACACCCAAGAATATTACTGAACTGGAGGCCATTGCCCATGAGGAATGGGCTGAGATTCCTCAAGAACGCTGTCTGAAGCTGGTGTCTGGCTATGCATCACGTTTGCAGCAGGTCATAACAGCAAAAGGGTGCTCTACTAAGTACTGAAGATGCTCGTCATGAAGGGGTTGAATAATTTTGAGACTGCAGAAGTCATTAAAAGTAGCATTTTGTGTTGAATTTGAATCAAAACCCTTGTAATATTAGTTTCAATGAACTACTTAAACAGTTCTTGTGTAATCTGTTTATTGCAAACAGCTGAGAAATTGTATATTTTGCCAGTAGGCCTAATATGCAATGGGGGTTGAATAATTTTGATTGTAACTGTAACTAATTTACTTAAAAACATATAATTTCCCCTAGGTGTGAGATGAATGTGTCTGATGTGAGGGTGCTCAATTATGGCACCATTTAAACTATGAACAAATGTAGCCATAACACTGTTATCAAGTTTCCTGGCCTTACCAATCTTTGCTGGATTGCCACCAGCCTCCCACCTGCACCTTTGGACCAGTGAAGAAAATATGATCTTAATGCCAGGATGCTGGAGGTGAAGCTAGTGCAGGTCCTCCTTCATCATGCTGACCAGGCTCGACACTGTTGACCTTCCCCCCCACTGCCGCCACAGTGGATGATGAGGACATCTGGTGCTGCTCTTCCTTGCAGGGAGTGGGAAAAGACGGGGAGAGGGCCTCTCCACTGCAGTCCACACCAGCCAAACCAGCAGACATGGATGCCCGGCATGCTGAGGTTGCTTCCCAAGGTCTCTGCAGCTCTCTGGGCACCACGCCAGACATAGCTGTCATCAATGATCCACACTGTGCCAGTGAAAGTAAAATGGGTGTAATAAATGCTTTAGGTAATTAGAAACAGAAAGTTAACTATAAAGGGTGAATCAGTTCTTTTTGTTGACAATACTATTATGTCACATCTGTAGGATAAAATAAAACAGGGAACAACACCTCAAAATATAGATGACAGTCTTTTAAATGCTTTTTTCTTTGTCCTTGGAAGACAATGTAATATTAGCTGTCTAAAGTCAAGTAGCCAAAACTGGTACTTACACTTTCTGCTGTGTGTAGCAGGCGTGGTGGAGATGTCACAAGTGGCCATGACCTCAACACTGGTGATGTACTGAAAGAAATTAACATCTTGTAACAAGTATAACACTGTCTTTCCTTTGCAATTTCTACATTTCTTTATCATGTTCTAGATGATAATCTTGCAATGCGCTGTTGATAACAGTAACGTTAACGTTACACATACATTTCAGTCCCCTTCAGACTTTTATCAATGTCAAAATCATAAATATGCATGCTATTTGCAATAGCGGTGGGTACTAGGATATAATCTTTAATGTCAGCCGTTATGCACACTGCAAATCCAACTACTAACTCGAATTTCTTGTTTGGTATCAACAAAACATTCATGGTAAGAAAGAACACTACCGTTAAATGGGTAACATCACATGTGACTTAGCTTATTAACATTATCTTATTCAAAGTATAATCAAGTGACATCCAAGTAAAAAACTTGTTACTAAAGTTACGTGAAAATCTAAATTCAGGTCAACTGATTTGCTTCAAATTATTCGTTAAATATGTATTAAATAAACGTTACGCTGATTCACTGTAAACTTGGCCAAATTACTTTTTACTTTTGTTGTGTATCGTTAGTTTCAGGTAAACTCAACTTAACTCAAGTTTTGTGAAGGCTAACTTAGCAGTGTTGAGCGAGGTGGGTGTGTTTAAGCAACCAGGCTTAATTTGGCCCGCCTCTTTGCTCATTTTTGATTGGCCGGGAGTTGGGCGGAATCAGCCACTGCCGAGATGGTGACGGCCAGAGCTGACTACTTTGAGCTTCAAACACGCTCCTCAGAATCCAATGGGTGACGTCACGGTGACTACGTCCATATTTTTATACAGTCTATGGGAGGGCCAAGGGATAGGGCTAAGGGGGGGGGGTATTGGGACAAGCCCTAAGTCAAGTCTCAAGTTATGAATACCAAGTCAAAGTCAAGTCTTTTAACAATGTTAGTCAATCAAGTCTCAAGTCTGCAAATTTGAGTCGTGACTCAAGGCCCCCACTTGCCTATTTCAGAGTGTAGTCAGGACTTGAGTGCATTTCGAGATCATCAACTCGTACAAAAATTAACTAGTCATGACAGAGTAGGTGATGTGTGCACTTCACCAAATCTGTGCAATATACTAGAGAAAATATTGGATATGTTGAAAAACTTGCATTCTTTCACAGTGCTTAGTTTTCATGGCTCTAAAGTTATAGCTTGGACAACAAGGCACAAGCACAGTCAAAACACTTTGAAAAGATGATTATGATTTATAATCTATACAAATGCTAGTAGCAATGTTTAGAACAGAACTTCTGAAAATGCTTCCTGCTTTCATCACATGGGAAATTAGTATTACTCCAGGAAATGAGGCCAAAATTGCATAATTAAAAACCCTGATTTCATAGCCGCTAAGAGTGAGTGTTTTAATTATTTTGGCCAGATCACATGCTGAATGAGTTTGTATCCCCATGGTAATGAAAGACTGATTCTAATAAGCTGCATAATATCAGCAGAATTAGCATAGCATGATAACATACAGGTTGGGGATTGTTCAGTGATCACAGCTCTCAGGTCAGTGTGACACGGGACACACAATCTCTATGTACCACGCTCACTGTCCATCACCCCGATGTCTCAAATCAAAGATAATGTTTCACTTCTAACAATGCGTAATATCCACGATGATGTCAGTGTAAGTTCTTGCTGTGAAAGCAACAGAAAAAACAATATCAGACAAAACCTCTCTTTATTTGGCCTAAAAGGGCCATAAATAAAATTTTATTCTCTCAATGTATTAACAAGCCACAGGAAGTCCATGGCTGTCTACCACAGCACTTAAAACATCTTGTTCTGGCACAGTCCACAAAGACATGAGACCCATTTGAGATCCTTTGAGCCCCTGATAAATCTGAAGGCTCTCTCTCCCACTTCCTTAGAAATATAAAACAAAGGGTGGTAATATGGTACCAAACTGGAGGCAGAGCAGCAGGGGGATCCTTTTCAGGCAGAGAAGGGTGCTTTAAAGAGGGCTATGAGTGCGATTGGGAAAGCTTGAATCAAACAGCAACAACAATAATAATAACTATGAAAAACCTCCAAACATGGTTTTATTTTTGCAAAGCTGAAAGAGAATGTGCTTGGCTTTTAACCACTGCAGGATTGCCACTGTTATTCCACCAACTTTTCCTCTCTCATTTCTTCACTCACTCCCAACAGTCCATCTTCCTTCCTCTGTTGTGTTTTGCTTAAAATAAAAGTGAAACAATATTCATAATGATAAAACCTATCGCAGCAATAGAGTAACAGAGGAGTAACACCTAGATGCGAAAGACCCCTGGATTTAGAAGGAAGTCATGGGTTAAGAGAGGTCCATGGATTTCTGCCCAGGGTCGGGCCTGTGATAAGAACCAGGTGCCTGGCTGTCCCTCAGAGCTCATCTCCCGTCAGTGGGCACCCTGCCGAGGGAGGCCATGATGTGGCTGAACCGTTCACTCAGCTCCAGGGTGGAGTAGCTGGGCAGTTTGGGAGGGTCGTGGAAGCTTTTGATCTCCGTCGAGCAGTCCAGTAACTTGGGGAGGAAGTCGGTCAGCTTTTCCTGGAGGTTGGCTGCCAGCAGGAGGAGGACAGACATAAGGACAGCACATGATTAACTGGCTGGGCCGTGCATCACAATGTGGTGAAAATCACAAGGTCAGTATTTTCCATGTGATATCACAAGTAGTCTAAGAGAGTGTACAACCAAGGAGTGGGGTCTGGCTGATAATACTCAGCTTTTCCTGAACAAAGGCCAGGAACTGTGACAGCAGGCTATCTCTGGACTCATACTGGTAAAAGCTCTTCTGCATTCCATTCTCTCTACCAAGACATGATTCTCTGGAGCATTCTCTCAGCATGTTTTAGTGCAATCTGACAGACAGTGATTTGATGTATGTGGGTCTGCAACACTTCAGTTTACTATTATAAGAAACACAGAAGAGCTCTGATGTAGTGGTTTAAAATACATACACATATATTTACACTTATATTATAGTATAGTTATACATAGTTATATAGTATCTACAACATTATTATATACTCTTATTCACTCCGTCCTTACTGGGTTAATATTGCCTAAGAGCAGCTCTGTGGTGGCAAATAATAATGACAGATCAATCAATACAGTTCAACAGTACATTTAGTATTCAATAATGGTAGAATAATTGCAACAGTAGCTGGAACAAAGTACATTTACCTGCTGCAGGCCTGATTCACATGAATTATATAAAAAAATCTCAACTTGTTGAAGGGAAAAACTGAAAATTCTCATCAAAGTTATGAATCATTATTTCTCCAACTAAATTACAAAAACCTTAACTATAAATGAACATTATCAAGAACATTGATTGTGACTGTATGCTGCTGCAAATTTCCGTCGGAACTTGCACATGTTATTACCTAATGAAATTACTGTAATATAACTGAGCTATATACAGAAATTAATGCTGACGAGAACGTGTGGTTGAAATGTATAGATACTGCATATACAGTGGTATGAAAAAGTTTAGGCACCCCTCTGAGACTGCATAATAATTTACTCTGTCTTCACAGAAAATGATCACAGTGGCATGCCATTCATTTTCTAATAAAAGCTGAGTACTGGGGTATTTTCCAGACAAAGATTTTTAGTGTAGCAATATTAAGTTGTATGAAATTAAATCAGATGTGAAAAACATAGGCTGTGCAAAAATGTGGGCACCCTTGTCATTTTGTTGATTTGAATACCTGTAACTACTTAGCACTGATTAATTGGAACACAAAATTGGTTTGGTGAGTTTGGTGAACTTCATAGACAGGTGCATCCAATCATGAGAAAAGGTAATTAAGGTGGCCAATTTCAAGTTCTTCTTGTCTTTGAATCTGCTCTGAAGAGTGGCAACATGGGGGCCTCAAAACAACTCTCAAATGACCTGAAAACAAAGATTGTTCAACATTATGGTTTAGGGGAAGGCTACAAAAAGCTATCTCAGAGATTTCAGCTGTCAGTTTCCACTGTGAGGAACATAGTGACGAAATGGAGGACCAGTTCACCTTAAGGCCAGAAGTTGCAGGCCAAGAAAAATATCGGAGAAGCAAAGGCGAAGGATGGTGAGAACGGTCAAAGACAACCTACAGACCACCTCCAAAGACCTACAACATCATCTTGCTGCAGATGACGTCACTGTGCATCGTTCAACAATTCAGAACACAGGAGAAGCTGTACAGGAGAGTGATGTGGAAGAAGCCTTTTCTGCACACACGCCACAAACAGAGTCGCTTGAGGTATGCAAAAGCACATTTGGACAAGCCAGCTTCATTTTGGAATAAGGTGCTGTGGACTGATGAAACAAAGACTGAGTTATTTGGTCATAACAAGGGGCGTTATGCACAGTGGCGAAATGACACAGCATTCAAAGAAAAACACTTGCTACCCACAGTAAAATTTGGTGGAGGTTCCATCATGCTGTGGGGCTGTGTGGCCAGTGCCGGTACTGGGAATCTTGTTAAAGTTGAGGGTTGCATGGATTCCACTCAATATCAGCAGATTCTTGAGAATAATGTTCAAGAATCAGTCACAAAGTTGAAGTTAGACCGGGGCTGGATATTTCAGCAAGACAACGACCCAAAACACTGCTCAAAATCTACTCAGGCATTCATGCAGAGGAACAAGTACAATGTTCTGGAATGGCCATCCCAGTCCCCAGACCTGAATATCATTGAAAATCTGTGGGATGATTTGAAGCGGGCTGTCCATGCTCGGCAACCATCAAACCTAACTGAACTGTTTTGTAAGGAGGAATGGTCCAAAATACCTTCATCCAGAATCCAGACATTAGAGGCTATAGGAAGCGTCCAGAGGCTGTTATTTTTGCAAAAGGAGGGTCTACTAAATATTGATGTGATTTTTCTGTTGGGGTGCCCAAATTTATGCACCTGTCTAATTTTGTTTTGATGCATATTGCACATATGTTAATCCAATAAACCTCATTTCACTACTGAAATATTACTGCGTCCATCAGTTATTTGATAGATCAAAATGAAATTGCTGATCCAAACACCCAGTGATTTATAAGTGAAAATAATGGAAATTGTTAGGGGTGCCCAAACTTTTTCATACGACTGTATGTATACTGCATAGTGTATGAATGTATGATGACCTATATTCTGTAACTGTGAGAGTGCAAATGCAGTGTCGAAGACCCTTCTCTGGCCTGGCATTGGCCAGCTCACTCGACGATGGCTTGCTCTTGTTCATTGTCTTCTTCATCAGATTACTCTATCGCGATTTGGATCCACTCAGGGACAGGATACAGGTCAAGTCATCCCTAAATTTATTCTCATCTGTGTCCTGTCTCATCATGAAATTTTTCATCACTACCATCTGCATTGCCTGCTTTTGACTTATAATTATCACTGATCTCATCACTGGAATACAACAAAAGAAGATGAATCTCATTAATACTGTACAGATCAAAACAGTTACTGCTAAACTAACCAGCTAATCTAATCTGATCTGATCTGATCTAATCTAATCTAATCTAATCTAACTGTCCCACTGGGAGAGGGGATGGCTGAAAATACTGGCAACTCATGAGCAAGATTATCAGTGTCATCGGTCAGAGTATCACCATCATCACTCTGTCCTTGCTCTTCATCCCCATACTTTTTGACTACCTTGGACCCTCACTTATCTGTGTCCTCTGAACCTTTACACAGTGATTTAAATGGTACCACGTAGGAGACCCTTCCACCTACACTCTACACCTCTAGAGGTAGCTCTGACTACCTCGTAAGGTCCTTCTCTCCTAGGGAGGTCCCACTTTCTCCTGAACAATTTAACGTACACCAAATCTCTTGGTTTTACTATGGGTTCTTCATTCTCCTGGACCTCTCTAGCCTAGAAAGAAGCAACACTCCTGTGTATATTAGTCATTTGTTCAAGATAGGATCTCATGTCGCTTGTTAGTAGATCTAGTGAGGGACCCTTAACAGCCCTATAAGATAGCCTGCTAGTTAGAGCTTCATGCGGAGTTAGTCCCAAAGTCCTGTGAGCACTTGATCTGCATGTCATTAGGGTGAGTGGTAAAGCATCTACCCAGTTCAGCCCTGTGCTCATATAGATTTTTAGCAGTTTATTTTTCAAGATTTCATTGCATCTCTCAATGTCAGACTGCAAAGTTGGATTGTATACTGACCCAAATCGTTGCTTGATCCTGAGCTTTTGTAGTATGCATCTCACTGTTTTGTCAACAAACCCCTGTCCGTTTTCTGAACTTATTTTTACAGGAATGCCAAATCTAGGGATTACTTCTCTACATTAAAATTTTGCCACTGTCTCAGCATTTTATGCTGTCAAATGGAGATAACAAACTGGCAGTCCAAGCTCCACTGGTGTTAACGCCACAGAGTAATACGCTATAGGCTGCGCATGTAAACCAACACCTGTCTTCTGAGCTAACATTCCACAGGCGTGGTTTTGACAGCATGACACAAACAATTGAAAGGGTTTCTCATAGTCAAGGAGTGCTAATGCTTGTGCCTGCTGCAACAAAGTTTTTACTGTTTCAAATGCTACATGACCTTCAGGGGTCCATGTTACTTTTGCTTTTAGATTTCCGGGACCTTCTGCTTTCACCATGCTCCTCAAAGGTTGAACAATGGTGGTTTATCCATCAATCCACTCTGCACTGTATCCAGACTCACTGAGAGGCACACTAAAGAATACGGAGCACAGATCAATCACAGTGAACCATGTTGCATTGGGTGGAACATTGGACAGCAGTGTGTGATTTGGAACTTCGGACTGAAAGTCCTCTACTACCTCATTTAATGCACGCAGTTCGTGTACCTCAACTCACATCAGCAAGATTAGTGTGTTACTACTACTTGGATTTGGTTCAATCACCAACACACCTGCCTCCAATAGGCCCTGTATTGTCTGCTCAATATTGGCCTCAGGCTTTAGTGGATATTGCAGTTTCCATGGTGGTTTGCATCCTACCTTTAATTTCCTCCACTGGTTGTGCCAACTTAATGAGACCCAAATCAGTCTCCTGTTTTAACCATAAATTAGATGTAGCCAACATCTTTTCTTCAGGATCAGAATGCTGATGACAAAATTCAGAATGGCATGGAAGCCTGACAGCCTGTGGACACATCCAGCCTGTGGCAGAGACAGATATCCTGATGAAGGATCCATCTTTACTCAACCAGATGTCTTTGTTATCAGTTGGTGTTAATTGTACTTCTTTAGCCTCTAAAGTAACAATGTTACATGCGGAGAACTGTTTTTTATTTTGAACTCTTGGTCCAGATACGGGCTCCTCTCCACTATCATTGCAGCTTCCTGTCTACCCAACACAATGGCAGAGGACCATATTTGGACTTTTTCAGGCTGTTCTTTAAGCCAGGTATCTGGCTGTGATTCAGATCCATTCTTATAAAATTGGAGGGTGCAGTGAGGCGGACATGCAGGGAGAGATGCATCAGGCAGATTGGCTTTAATAAAGTCCATCCTCACCCTGAGTGGGTCCAAAAAGGTATCACTCAGGTTCCCAAGCAAATATACCATTTCTTCTTCTCGCCTCACA